AAAAAAAAAAAAAAAAAAAAAAAAGGATACATTAATAACCAAAAAATAAATGTATTAATTAAATAAAACAAATAAAAAATAGGGCTGGGTTGGACGGCATTGACTTCCTGTTCCTTTTATCTGTAGTTTGACTGGCTGGGGTTTGTGAAGGCCGTGGTGGAGTCGGAGGATGACCCGGGCCGGACCGTCTCCTCCTCTGAGCCCGTCATCGTTAGAGCGCCCCAGTACTTCAAAGACCTCATGAAGCTCCTCAACGCCACAGACTCCAGGTACACACACACTTAAATGTCTGGGAAACGACTTTAGTTGATCTATTTTGTTCCCTATTTAGCCCTGAAGGCTTTTAGAAACGCATAGATTCTACAAAACTCTAATTTAGCTTGTTACGAAAGCCTTATATTGAGCTTTTTCCCCAAATATAACACGAATTATGGGGGTTCAAGCTTAATTTAAAGTTTTCTAATCCTAGGACCCACTGAGGGGTCCATAACATGAATCTCCCAGTTGGTTGACAACCATCAATAAAAGATTAAATCGACCCCAAATGGCTGCAGCTCTAATTATCATTGAGCTAGTTGGACCTCCTTAAATGTCCCGTTTTTATTCGACCGACCAGTGAATTCAATCGTTAGAGCTCCCCAGTACTTCAAAGACCTCATGAAGCTCCTCAACGCCACAGACTCCAGGTACACACACACTTATTTTTATTTATTTATTTGATTTAATCAGGACAGTGCACGTTAATGAACAATCTCATACAGATTGTAAATGAGCCAGATTATAGCATAGTTGCTAGTTTACATCTGTCGTCCTGAGGCAGGAAGACCAAACAACACAAAATCCAAAAAATACAAAATCAGTCCAAACACACGTTCAGACAATGACATTACAAAATGAAAATTAATTCAATTCAATTCAATTTCATTTATACAGCGCTTTCCAAACAGAGCAGGTCAGACCCTACTCTGAAGTTAATTACAGAAACCCAACATACTTAAATGTCCGTGAAACGACTTTAGTTGATTAATTTTGTTCCCTATTTAGCCCTAAAGGCTAGAAACACATCAATTCTACAAAACTCTAATTTAGCTTGAAAACAAATGCTTATATTGAGCTTTTTCCCCAAATATCATCATGGGGGTCCACGCCTAATTTAATGTTTTCTAATCCTTGGACCCACTGAGGGGTCCATAACATGAATCTATCAGTTGGTTGACAAGCATAAATGAAAAATTAAATCGACCCATAATGGCTGCAGCTCTAATTCTAATTGAACTAGTTGGACCTCCTTAAATGTCCCGTTTTTATTCGACCGACCAGTGAATTAATTCAATAATCCCTTCATTTGGTTGAAGCCACATGCTGTATTTTTTATTTAAAAAAAGTTAAGTATGGCTCTTTAAAAAAAAAAAAAATAAAAATGGATCTAAAAAAAAAAAAAAAAAAGGTAAATATGGCTCTTAAAAATAAAAAAAATAAAAAATTAACAGCTTAGTGTTCACTTGTCAAAATATGTGCTGGAGATCCTGTTTAAATGGTGTCTGTATTTTTTTGTAGGACGGTGGCCAACTATGTCCAGTGGAGGACGGTTTTTTCCAGAATCACCACCCTGAGCCGGCGCTTCCTCTACAGATACCTGGACTACGCCCGGGTTTGTACTATTATCTGGCCTGAAAAATGATGTTTTTATACAGATTTAATGGTAGCTTCTTTATTTATTTCAGGAAATTATGAATAATCCAAAATCAAAGATTAGATCTAAATTTGATATTGTTGATTTGCTCATCATATTGCGTTTAAAATTAACCCTTTAAAGCCTGATCCAAGAAAAATAGGAAGAAAATTTGATTCTTTTTAGTCTGAAGTCTTTCTTTGGCCCCTCAACAACATATGAAGAAAAAAAACAGAAATTATTTTGATCAAATTAGCGTGCAATAAGTCAAAAATATATTTTGGTGTAGTCTTTTACTGGCTGTTATCAGGTATATCAGATATGATACATTTGGCATTATAGAGTTAAGTTGAAATCTTACAATACTATTATTTAACTTCTTAAACATTGAAAATTAAAGTACATGTTTGTTTTGGGCTGTTGAACAGTAAATGTCACGGTGGGGTCCCATAGATCCAAAATGGCTCCAGACTATGTCACCAGACTGTGTTTCCCCCCCCAGATAACAACAGGAACCACGTCCCTGACCCCCCGCTGGGATAAATGTGTGAACTACGTGGAAAACTCCCTGGTTTACGCCACCGGACGCCTGTTCGTCGACACACACTTCCAGGAGGACAAGAAACAAATGGTGTGTACCTGAAAAATATTTAAAAAGAAAAAACTGAAATACATCTTAATATTAATAATAATAAATAATTTATTACCATGCGATAAGTCAAGATTATTTTTTATGTAGTATTCTGCAGGATTTTGAGCAAAGTTTTTACCATTAAATTAACCCTTTAAAGCCTGATCCAAGAATAAAACAAACAGAAAATTACTTTTTTTTGGTTTGAATGACTTATTTGGCCTTTTAACAAAATATGTAAAAAAAAAAACAGAAATACATTTTTAATATTAATAATTTATTACTATGCGATAAGTCAAGATTATTTTTGTGTAGTCTTCTGCCCCCTGTTATCAGGTGTATCTGATTGTGTACAATAGGATTTTGAGCAAAGTTTTTACCATTAAATTATGCAAAAGGTGTCAGACGCAAAACATTTCAGAAACCGTTTCCGGGATGTGGGGTTTTATCTGGAGTTTCTTTATACTGAGGTGTAATTATTTATTCATTTATTTAAAACTCGTAGATGGAGGAGCTGATCGAGGGCGTCCGATGGGCATTTATTGACATGCTGGAGAAGGAGAACGACTGGATGGATAAACCAACCAAGAAGAGAGCAGTAGAAAAGGTGAAGACTATTTAACCCTTTAAAGCCCCATCCAAGAATAAAACAAAACAGAAAATTACTTTTTTTTTTTTTTGTTTGAATTCCTTATTTGGCCTTTTAACAAAATATGTAAAAAGAAAAAACAGAAATACATTTTTGATGTTAATAATTTATTACTATGCGATAAGTCAAGATTATTTTTTGTGTAGTCTTCTGCCCCCTGTTATCAGGTGTATCTGATTGTGTACAATAAGATTTTGAGCAAAGTTTTTACCATTAAATTATGCAAAATGTGTCAGATGCAAAACATTTCATAATGAAAATAGATGTACTTGGTTGATCCCAGGCTTTGCATCACAAGCCAAAAGAGATGCTACAAATCTGATTTTACCATGAACCCACTACCTTTTGTTAGAAAAAATATAATAATTATAATCCATTTTTTTAAATTCTCTTCTCTCTCTACAGGCTCATGCGGTCCTGGCTAAGGTCGGCTACCCCGAGTTTATTTTAAATGACACCTACCTCAATGAAGACTTAAACCAGGTGTGTATATAACGAATTTAAACCGGTGGTTTTATAGAGGAAGGAAGTCAATATAAAGTTAAAATCTCTCATAGGCCAAACGTTTTCCTGATTTTGTTTGTTTTTGTTTTTTTTTTAAACAAATTGTTTATTATTTTTTCAGAAATAATACAGTGTTGTACGAATGTAGATGTGTATTTTTATATTTTTAAACATAAAAAAACAGAACACAAACGCAGGGTGATTTCAAGAGTGTGAAAAAAGACAAAAAACAAACATAATTGCATTATTAGTGGTACGACAGGTCTCCAACGTTTATTGAATATGGGTCTTTGTAGTCTTAGGGAGTATGTTATATATTCCATTTGGTATATTTCCCAGACCTTCTGAATCCAAATATTGTAGGAAGGAGGCTCAGGTTTGAGCCATCTGATTGTTATACATTCTAGAGCAGCTAAATATTAATAATATATTCAAAAGATAGTTTTCATCTCGTGTAGTAATAGTTTTCGGTGTTACTCCCAATAAGACAATGTCTATATTGAATGGGATTTCCTGTTTGAAGATTTTGGAAAGACATCAAAAATGTCTTTCCAAAACAGATTTTAATTTAGGGCATTGCCAAAATATTTGTGTAATTAGCATTATCAGTTCCACATTTTCTCCAACATGATCCTACGTATGTTGGTCCCATTTTAGCCGATATAGCTGCTGTTCTAAAGAATCTAGTTGGAACTTTCCATTTGAATTCTCGCCAAGTGTTTGAATTTGTGACAAGGTGTGACTCCGATTTTGTTTGGTTTTAATGTAAAAAATGATTAACAGACAAAGTTGTGTTTTTAAATGACGAGTTATAGTTTCTTAATGTATCCGGATTATGGTCGTAAATATTCAGATGGGTTTCCAGTTGCCAGTGAAATGTCCGGAGGAGTTACGACTCGGTGTTAAATGAATCAAACTGTACTGACTTCAGCTCCAGTTCGACGAGAAGGATTACTATGGAAACGTGATGCAGACCTTGAAGTTCATCGGCCAATCGGATGTGGCCTGGCTCCGGAAGAGCGTCCCGCGGACAGAGTAAGAGATGCTGACTCGGCGAGTTTTCAGACGTCTGAAGGGAGACAAAAAGAAATGTGGAGAGAAAAAGTGTCTTCTGAGAACCTTTTTGGGTCACTTTAGCTAAATCCTAGCCCAGATCCGTTGTCCTAAGATGGAGAGCCCGCCTGGTTAACCCTTTAAAGCCTGATCCAAGAATAAAACAAAACAGAAAATTAGTTTTTTTTTTGGTTTTAAGTCACTATTTGGCCTTTTAACAAAATATGTAAAAAGAAAAAACAAAAATAAAATGTAATATTAGTAATTTATTACTATGCGATAAGTCAAGATTATTTTTTATGTAGTATTCTGCAGGATTTTGAGCAAAGTTTTTACCATTAAATGAACCCTTTAACGCCTGGTCCAAGAATAAAACAAAACAGAAAATTAGTTGTTTTTTTTTGGTTTTAAGTCACTATTTGGCCTTTTAACAAAATATGTAAAAAGAAAAAACAAAAATAAATTATTAATATTAATAATTTATTAGTATGCGATAAGTCAAGATTATTTTTTATGTAGTCTTCTGCCCCCGGTTATCAGGTGTATCTGATTGTGTACAATAGGATTTTGAGCAAAGTTTTTACCATTAAATTATGTCAGACGCAAAACATTTCAGAAACCGTATGTATCAAATATGATACATTTGGCATTACAGGGTTAATGCCTCCTTAATGAAGAGGTTTGATGGGTTTTTTTGGCAGAAAAGAGGAAGAAGAGTCGAAGACATGAAGTCTTCTGAATGA